GGCCTGCTGTATTCATCCAGCTCTACACCTTGTTATCTCAGATTCTCCAGCATCTGCAGTTCTTACTATCTCTACCTTTTTTTTCTACCTATGTACCAGTCTACCATACTTATTCACTTTATATTCCATTTGTCATGTTCTAGACTGTCCATTTAAGCCACCCAAGTCTTTTTGAAGCCTTTTTGCATCCTTCTCAAAACTTATGTTCCCACCCAGTTTGATGTTATCAGCAAATTTGGAATCCACATCCAAATCGTTTTTATAAATAGTGGATAGTTTTGGAACTAGCACTGATCCTTTCAGTACCCTGAGAATGTTCATTTATTCCTATTCTCTGCTTTTTGCTTGTTAACCAATTTTCAATCCATATGAAATAGTTCCCCAATCCCATGTGCTCTAATTTTGTTTACTAACATCCTGTCTGGGCCCTTACGATAAGCCCTGCTAACATCTAAACATACCATGTAGAATCATAAAATTTTACAGTACAGTACAGAAGGAGGCCATTCAACCCATCATGTCTGTACCAGCTCCTAAAGAGCTAAACAGCTGGCTAATATGCTCAAAACAATCCAACACTCTTGTCAAACATGACTTTCCTTTCTTAAATCAATGTTAACACTGCTTACTTTTACCTTTCTTTTCTAAATTTCCAGGGAGCACATCCTTAAAATTAAATTCTAACTACTGACATCCAATTAGCAGGCCTTTTATTCTCTATTCTTCCCTCTTCCTCGCTTCTTAAATAGTGAAGTTACATTTGCTACTTTCCAGTCTGCAGAAACCTTTCCAGAATTGATAGAACTTTGAAAATGTAACCACCAATGTATCCTCTATCCCTCTAGCCACATTCTTCAACTCTCTGTGATAAAGCTACTGTCCTAGGAGATTTCTTGAACTTCAATCGGTTAATTTTTCAAGCACTACCTCCTTACTAATACTAATTTATTTTAGCTCCTCCGTTGTACAAGTTCCTTGGTTGCCTAGTATTTCTGCGAGATTTTCTTGCCACCTTCAATGAAGACAGGCGCAAGCTAACTTGTCTGCTATTTCAGAGATAGTAGGAACTGCAGATGCTGGAGAATCTGAAGGACGACGTTTCGGGCCTAGACCCTTCTTCAGAAAGAAGGGTCTAGGCCCGAAATGTTGGCCTTCCTGTTCCTCTGGTGCTGCTTGGCCTGCTGTGTTCATCCAGCTCTACACCTTGTTGTCTGCTATTTCCTTCTTCTCCACTATGAATTCTCCTGTCATAACTGTAATGGGCTTACATTTGTGCTAGCTAATCATTTCCTTTTCACATACATGAAGCTTTTACAGCCCACCTTTATGTTTCTCACTAGCTCACATTCATATTCACTTTTCCCTTCATCAATTTCTTGGGCCCTCCTTTGCTTAGGAGGCAAGCAAATCCACAGATTCGCCACATTTTCTGGCATCCTTATGAGCCATTTCCAAGGACCTTATGCAGTCTTTAACTTCTTTCATTAACCATGGTTGATTCACCTTTCCTTTTTAAGTGTTTGTGCCTTACAGGAATGTTGTAGACCATGTAATATTTCTTTAAATACTAGCGATTGCCTAGAATCAACTTGCTCCATCATACCTTTATAAATTCCTTTTTTTCTGATATATGATCCAAGTTTCAGAACGAACTGTAACACATTCAAGCCTAATGCAAAAATCTATTATGATCATTACTTCCTAAAGGTTCCTTGACAGCAAAGTTATTCATTTGTCCTTTCTCCATACACAACACTAAATTCAAAATTGCTCAACCCCTAGTTGACTCCTCAGAGTACTGCTCCAGGAATTCATCCTCCACAGCATTTGTACTGATATACTTAATCCATAGATTTGTAAATTGAAGTTGCCCATGATTACTGTAATACCCATCTTACACATGTCTCTAATTTTCTGATTTATACTATTCCCTAAATTAACACTGCAGTGTGGTGCACTATAAGCAACACTGGGCAATGTTTTCCTATCGTTGTTGTTTCTTAGCTCTAATGAAACTGAATGTACATCTTGATCCCTTGATCTAATATCCTCTTGTTTAAGCATTCTTTATGAAAGTGACTTTATACCATACTAGAATTGTAAAAGGTGGGGCGGGGGGCGCGGTCTCACACATCCCCATTTAGACGGTTGAACATCTACAGGGAAGTATGAAGAGAGACATTAATAATCTATAAGAGTCAATGATTGCTCAGCTCAGTCACTTGGCACAGCCTGACAGCAGATCATTTTACTCTTCTTGGTAGATCCCAAAACCAAGTTGTCATGCATTTTAATTTGTTTCTAAAACAATTATTCTAATGAAGCATTTTTATTCTTAATATACAAAAAGAGAAACCATTGTGGCAGGTTAGATATAAGTAAATAAACTTTTAACACATTCATGAGGGATTGCTTTGTCCACTATTTTAGTGTTTCCTTTAAATGGGGAAATGTTGCTCAGAAAAGAACAGATAAAAGGATGCCAAAATACAGCACAGCAGGCAGTCTTATCATTTTAATTCATTCACAGAATGTGAGCATCTCTGGCTAGGCCAGCATTTATGGCCCATCTCTAAGTGCCCAGATGCCAGTTGAAAGTCAACAACATTGCTGTGGGTCTGGAGTCACATTTAGGTCAGGATGGTAGTTTCCTTCCTTAAAGGACATTAGTGAAACAGATGGGTTTTTCCAACAGTCGACAATGAATTCTTAGTCATCATTAGACTGTTAATTCCAGATTTTTATTGCATTCAAATTTCACCATTTGCTGTGGCATGATTTGAACTTGAGTTCCCAGAACACTACCTGGATTGTCAGTTCAGTGGTAATTACACTAGGCCATTGCCTCCCCTAAGTTTTTAAACACTAGTGATGTTTTCTGGCCTTCTTTTGTTTTCAAACAGACCAATGTTTGAAATATGCAGTTGTCTGGAATGGAAGAAAAGTAGTCACTGGAACTTGAGAATTCCCGTTCCAGTCATCTGTTTTGTCTCATATACAACAGCAGGTTGCCTCTGAATTCTAGAATCAGCACAGAAAAGTGCCATTCAGTCCAACACGTCTGATGTTGTCTCTCTGACAGACATGTTAATTAGTCCCAATCCTGTGAGCTGCTTCTTTTCAAGTATTTATCCAAATTGCCTCTTGAACTTACCATAGACTGTACTTCCACTACCCTTGCAAGCAATGCATTTTTGATCTTAATATATCAATGCATTAAAAAAAAAGCTTCTTTTGCCGATGACATAAATCTGTGTCCTCTCTCTGCTGACCCTTCTGTCACAAAAAAAAAGGAGCAGGAATAGGCCATTTGGCCCTTTGAGTCTGCTTCCCCTATTCAGTATGATCGTGGCTGATCATCCAACCTCAGTACCTTGTTCTACTTTCTTGCCATACTGTTTGATCCCTTTAGTCCTAAAAAACTATGTCTAACTTTTTCTTGAAAATGACATATTTTCTGATTATTTAGTCTATCAAAACCATTTGTTAATCTTTTCTGCTTCAAGTAGAACAACCTCAACTTCTGTAGTTTTTCCAAATAACTGAAGTCTCTTATCCTTGCACCATTTCAGTAAATCACTCCTGCACCTTAACCAAGGTCTTGACATCCTTCCAAGTGTGATGCCAGAGTTGAATACCATATGCCAGTTGACATGTAGCCGTGATTTGAAACTGAGACATTATTCAAGTTTCTTCTCATTATTCCCACTTCATGGTCAGAAACTGCTTGTCCAGCCAGTATGCTGTTGTCCTTTGGAATCTGCTCTCAATCTCCTCTAATCTATCTGTTTTTGA